GTGGGTTACTTGCGGTTTCGCGACACGGCATACGCCCCACGCTCAGGATGCTCTCGCTGTCCTCATCCCACTGGCCCACCGCCTGCAGGGTTACGAATCAAGACCCGTCCCAGTTGGTTCATGCGTTACCCCCTTCGCAGTTACGTTATTTCTGTTGCAGCTTACGATATTCTACCGTCCCATGATATTCTCGCTACTTATACTCACCAGTAGTGAAACACCGCATTCGTAGACGTCTCTCCGGAGGTGCCCGGTTCGGTTCCTCCTGGGTTATGTCGCCTACTGCAGACACTTTTCCGCGTCACCAGGACTCAATTATTTATCACTGTAATCCGAATGCGTCATGTCAGCTCTTCGATACATTCCCTGCGCCTCTAAGCTTTGCTTGTGTGGCCGCTGCCATAGCTTACGCCCCGAGTAAGCGGTGCAATGCGCCGCTGTGCACGTAGTTCCGGATATCGACGAAGGCTAAGGCATCGAAGAAGATCCAAATCAACTCCTTGCAACGCACACAGAGACTCTGTACGGCATGCGCACGTCGTTAATCGCATGGCTCCAATCTATGCCCGCGGCGGGCCTCGCTCGCGCTCGCTGCTATCGCGACGGTCTCGAATTGCCACAGGGACATCTGGCTCACACTGCGCCTGGGGAACCAATGGCGCTCTTTGGTACCCTCATTCGGGTAAGTCAGCTTCGTTAGTTGAGTGAATACCTTGTGGCATTAGTGTGTAAGTGACGACGATAATGTTCGAGAGCGTTGATGCGCACCGTACGTACCCGAGGCCGCAAACGCGCCTTTCTCGCAGTTAAACTTATCTGACGCCGTTCAACTGTAACTATCTCTATCCTGCATTTGAACACCTCAACGTTACGTGGACGATATAGAGAATATTGGATCTGAGGGGTCTGCATGCGTGCCCACTGCCTCGGGAAATGCCTGCAGATGATATTCGATATGTATGTCTATCACAAGGCTCGAGGTATATGGAAACACAAGAGATCAGTGAGAAAGATGAGAGGTTGCCAGGTGTATAGTAATGAGCCAATGAGTAAGAACTATACATGGAGAAGAACGGACTGTCTCAGAGGGAATGATACGAGGTGGAGCATACGATAGAGCCGATAAGGCCGAGAGCTATTGCGCGTATACCCTCTCAGTGTAGGGCGAAGCCAGCCAATAGATCTCTTTCTCCTTTATCGAAACCACAAAGGGCGTGCCAGTATCCTCCCAATTCAGAATTTTATCTGATTTTCTGTCATGTGGTGCTACAGACCGACGCCGCATGCCTCCCGCCAGTTCCAAGAACTACTTATGCCATCCACGGTGTCATACATAGACATAGAGCCAGGTCCCATCTCGCGCAGGCTCTTCGACGCCAAGTTCCCCCCTGACCAGATACGCTCGCGGCCTTCACCATCGGTCCGTCCGACGTCACGCGCAAAGCTATAGTTGTTCCGCGTGAAGTAGCGCAAGATATGTGCAAAGATATGAAACTTTGGCACGACGAAGACCTTGACGCGGTCCAGCATCGCGCAAACGACTTTGAAGGGAGCACTTTCCACGGTCTTCAAGGTTGCGAATCCGATACGCTTCTCGTGAAGAGAGGTTCCGTCGAGACCCGCCTTCTCAAGTAGAGTCTGCTCGCGAAGGCCCCCAAACCAGTCCACATCTGCAACTGTCTGCGCTCCCTGTCAATACCAGTATATCTCCATAACACACAATGCCATGGTCTTACTGTGTCGGTCGTGCCATCTGTTGTTTTCCACCAGGAGATTCTACGCTTCCCTCGCTCTTCGTCAGGCTTCACAGCGGGCGTTGTGACTGAATGAGAAGGATGAAGATGTACGTGTAGTCCGTCCTGCGCGCCCAATTCAACTCCCTTCACGGCCCTTTCGCCTTTGTTGCAATCAGCGCGCTGTGTACGCTCCGCGTAAAGGATACATACTGGGCGATAT